AATTTTTCCCGTCAAAGCCATATGATCATTGTGTCTGACAAATTTGAGTTTTTTTGAGGAAGTTACCAAAAAATGATTTGAGGGTAGCATAGTAGGTGTTACTTGGGCTTTAGTAAGACTTTTGACAAGATTCCAAATGGTAGTGTAATTAGTAAAGTTAGGTCAAGTGGAATTCAGTGAGATTGCCAATTGGATACCTAATTGGCTTAACAGCAGGAGCCAGTGGTGGTAGAACGTAGAACATAGAACAGCACAGTACAGGCCCTTTGGCCCACGATGTTGTGCTGAACTTTTACCCTAAACCTAAGGTCTATCTAACCTCCACCCCTACCTTGTACTAGCATCCATATGTCTATCTAATAGCTGCTTAAATGCCTAATGAGGCCGACTCCACTACCCTCTCCAGCAATGCATTCCACGCCCCTACCATTCTGAGTAAAGAACCTACCTCTGACGTCTCCCCTATATCTACCTCCACTCACTTTAAAACTATGCCCCCTTGTAATAGCTACCTCCACCCTAGGAAAAAGTCTCTGGCTGTCCACTGTATCTGTACCTCTGATCATTTTGTACACCTCTGTCAAGTCGCCTCTCATCCTTCATCGTTCTAAAGAGAAAAGCCCTAGCTCTCTCAAGCTTTCCTCGTAAGACCTTCCCTCCATTCCAGGCCACATCCTGATAAATCTCCTCTGCACCTTTTACCAACGCTTCCACATCTTTCCTGTAATGAGGCGACCAGAACTGGACACAATACTCCAGATGTGGCCGAACCAGGCTTTTATATAGCTGGAGCATAACTTCACGGCTCTTGAACTCAATCCCTCTATTAATGAAAGCTAACACACCATACGCCTTCTTAACAACTCCATCTGCCCGGATGGCAGCTTTCAGGGAACTGTGGACATGAACCCCAAGATCCCTCTGCTCCTCCACACTGCCAAGAATCTTTCCGTTAACCCTGTATTCTGCTTTCAAGTTTGTCCTTCCAAAATGAATCACCTCTCACTTTTCAGGGTTAAACTCCATCTGCCACTTCTCAGCCCAGCTCTGCATCCTATCAATGTCCCTTTGTAACCTAGAACAGCCCTCCGCACTACCCACAACTCGCCCCACCTTCGTATCGTCCGCGAACTTTCTAATCCACCCTTCCGCTCCTTCATCCACATTTACAAAAATCACAAATAGGAGAGGACCCAGGACAGATCCTTGTGGTACACCACTTGTAGCTGAGCACCATGTTGAATATTTTCTGTCACTACCACCCTTTGTCTTCTAAGGGTCAGCCAATTCTGAATCCAGTCTGCCACATTTCCCCCTATCCCATGCCTCCTTACCTTCTGCATGAGCCTACCATGGGGAAACTTATTCCTGCCCCTTCTTTCATTCCTCCAAGTTGGAGGGGGGCTATAAGAAGTCTGGACTGTACCTGTGTCGACTGGTTTGCCAGATGACTGCTGTGCTCTTAACTCCCTTTCCCATACAATGATTAATGTTTAGAGGACCCAGGCCTGATTACAAAAGATGTTAGAGGGGTCGAATCCCAGACCCATGCCCCTCCCTCATTGTGAGGCATGGGAGACAAGAGTTCAGACTAATTCTTCCATCGTTCGTTGCTTAGAGGTGCAAAAACCTGGACGAATTGACTCAGTCTCCAGGCGAAGGTGGTGGTGTGTTCCCCTTGTTGGTATTTATATCGCACCTCTACGGGGTCTGCCTTATCTTGGCCTATGGTGGTGAGGACCACAGTCTTTATCTCATCAGTGTTCACCTTCCCTAGTTGTTGGTCCTTGGGGAGGGCTAAATGGACCATTGAATTAAGGCACGTGGTGACTAATTTGGTTTCCTCCTCAGCATATAACAGACTGTCAGTAGGTCTTATCAAGAAATGCATACGAGTCTGAGGTGGAATCAAACAGTGTCACCCTTTTCAGCAATGTCTGCCGCAAGCTGGAATGGGTGTTGTGTATGACACTGGGTGACCACAGAATCCAGGGGCTATAGTTTTGGCTGTGGCTTGGGTGGGGTTGAAGGCATTGTCACCTGAGAGAAAGGCAGGGATGGAGGGGGGCTCCCCATCTGTGGGTGTGGAGGTTGACAGGGTACAGATGTGTCAGTGTGGGGCCTCTTTTTATCTCTATGGAGAGGTATGACCCCATAGGAGCACATTATCCCATTCTGTGTTTTCCCCTGTATTCTGGTGGCCTGCTGTTTAACTACACAGAAACAGGCCCTTTGGCCCAACTTGTCCACACTGACCGTCAGAACATCCCACTATAATCCACCTAGCCTGCACAGCTTTGGACTGTGGGAGGAAACTGGGGCACCCCGAGGAAACCTATGCAAACACGGGGAGAATGCGCAAACTCCACACAGACAGTCGCCTGAGTGTGGAATCGAACCCAGGTCCCTGGTGCTGTGAGGCAGCAGTGCTAACCACTGAGCCACCATGCATCCCTAAAATTTAAGTTACTAAGTGGCTACCTGGTTTAACTTGTTTTAACTTTTCCATTTTGTCAGTAGTGATTTCTTATCTAATCTCAGCTAGCTGGCTGAGTGTCCTCCATGTTGGATAAGGAGAGACTTGTTCCATGCTACTCGTGAGCATATTATAGCTGGGCCATTTACTGGATTTCTCTTCCATGTTATTAAGTTAGGGAAGTGGCTGTAGTCAGATTAAGGCTTCAGCTGAATTCTTGTTGCAGCCTCTCAAAGTCTTAGACATGTAGATCACAGTGACCCTTTGTAGCACTAGCCAGAGATAGGTCTTTAACCCTTTCTCGTGGCCTGACTGTAGAGTTTCCCAAACCTGTGTATTATGTCAATCCCTGGGTCCCTGACCCAATATCTGGATCCTTGCTCCAAGTGCTCTTTAAAACACTTAGCAGCCATTTCGATCGGGATAGTAGAGTATGTAGGAAGGTCAATGGCTGCCAATGTCTCTACTCCTTTTAACCTGAAAAGTAAAGTTTCCTTGACTCTTTGGAACTGAAAGGACCCTCAACTCTCTTGAACTGAAAATAAAGTTCCTTTAAAGAATGACTTTCCCTCAACTGTCCCTGCTAAACACTCTGGGGGTAGGGACCACAAGGGGTGACAGAGCCTGACCTTGTGTTGAACATGGCTCTTACTCATACAGGGCCATTCCCATGGTTTCTACGTCAAACTTCGTCCTCTGAGGTAAACTGTCTCCCTTTCTTGGAGACCGCTGGCAGGCATTGGTGTTCCCAATGCTGTTTCACCCTCCCCTCCCATACAAGGTCAGGGAAGATCAGGTTTAACCTGGTGAAGAGTCTTCAGTCCATTAGCAACTCTGCTGGAGCTATCGCTGTAGTTGCATGAGGAGTGGTCCTGTAATTAATTAGGAAGCGGGACAGTTTGGTATCAGGTGAAGCTGTGGGCTGTTTCCTTAAGCCTGCCTTCAACGTTTGGAAAACTCTGTCCACCAGACCATTTGGATGATGGATGGTATGGAGCTGTCCCTACGTGCTGAATGCCATTCGACTTTGAAAATACTTGAATTCCCTGCTGGTAAATGATGGCCCATTGTTTGTGACAAACACCTCCAGGAGTCCATGTATTGCAAAAGATTTTCAGATTGGAGGCCTGTCACCAGTGGTTCTGGTTCTGGGTCCTTTTTTTTTCTTGTCATTTGATGGATGAGAATATAGAAGGAATGGTTAGTAAGTTTGCGGATGACACCAAAATTTGAGGCATAGTAGACAGTGAAGAAGGTTTTCTAAGATTTACAAAGGATCAAATGGGTAAATGGGCTGAAAAATGGCAGATGTATTCAGTTTCAATAAGTGCAAGGTATTGCATTTTGGTACATCAAACAGGGACAGGACTTGTACAATTGATGGTAGGTCCTTAGGTAGTGTTGAGGAACTTAGGGGTTCAGGCACATACTACTTTTGAAGTTTGCATCACAAAAAGACAGTAGTTAAGCATGCTGAGAAGTGACCATGTTAGAGGTTTATAAAATCATGAGGGGTATAGATAGGGTTAATGCTAGGTGTTGGATAGGGGATTTCCAGACCAGGGGACATATTTTTAAGGCAAGAGGAGAGATTTTTTTTTTAGACAAAAGGGCAATATTTCACACAAGTGGTTCACCTGTGGAGTGAACTTCCTGAGGAAGTGATGGATATGGGCACAGTTGCACCATTTTTAAAAATGCTTAGATAAATGCATGAATAGGAAAGGTTTGGAGGCAAATGGGCCAGGAGCAGGCAGGGGAACTAACTTAGTTCAGGATTATGTTTGGCATGGACTAGTTAGATCGAAGGGTCTGTTTCCGTGCTGTATGACTATATGCACTTTTTTAAATACTGTGCTCATTACATCCTTTAATAAACCCTAACATTGCCCAGTAACAGGCATTAAGTTAACAGGTCTATGGTTACCTGTTTTTTTTCTCTTTCCCTCCTTTTAAAAGTGTTACATTGGGAAACTGCCAATCATCTAGGACTTTTTCCAGGAATCTCTTGGGTTTAGACTACTACTTGTGCATCCACTGTCTTTGTAGCAACTTCCTTTCAAGATGTATCTGATCAGGTCCATGGTCTTTAGCCCAATTAAGTTCCTTAGCACCTTTTTTCTCTAGTAATAGCTATTGTACTGTATGTGCTTTTTTTTTTGCTTCCTGAATTCTTTAATCTCCTTTGATCTCAAGCTTCTGAAATATGTACCCCTCCAACTATGGCCTTGTTTGGATTCGCAATCCTATTTGAAGGCTGAGCCTTCAGGTGTCTAAGGCTCCAAGTTCTTATTCTGTCCCAACACCCCTCCTGCTTGTAACACTGCTTTCTTTCTTTGAGGCATTTTAAAACCTACTTCTTCGACAAAGTTTTTGGTTATCTGAGCTAGTATCACCTAATATGGCAATACTTTATCACTTCTGTGAAGTATCTTGGATTGTTTGATTTTATATTAAATTTGTTATCGTTCATAGTCTTAGCAGCACCCAATGCAATTGATTGCTGTTTCGTTGACATCCACAGAATACCACAAGCTTCTGGGACAAGTGGCAAATTGCAGTGGTGAGTCAAACATCATTCAGTGAAGCTCTGCTGCTTTAGGAGTTGCTTTGGCCCTCTTGTAACCACTTGTCAACAGGTGCAGTGTGGAAAGATAATGGAAACAAGTTGGGAAATGTTCAGTCTTGTTAGGTGCTAACTGACTTTGAGCTTTTCCACTTAAAAACTTAAGATAACAAGACTTGTTTTATGCTTTCTTTTAAACCCCAGGCACTTCATCTGGATCATTGTCACCACAGTCAAAGAAAGACCAGCCACTTTTCACTTTGAGGCAAGTTGGAATAATCTGTGAACGCCTGATTAAAGAGCGTGAAGAGAAGATCCGTGAAGAATATGAAGAAATACTGGATACAAAGCTGGCAGGTAAATTTGGGTGGGGTCTTGACATTTGGTCAAGTGGAATATCAAATGAGAGCATAAGGGCAAATACTGAATTCCATCCAATTAGATTCTAAAGTCTTGGCACCTGTTTTTTTAATGCAGATATTTACACTTATCGTTTTGAGCTAGGGAGTTTAAACAAAAATCTCCATGCTGCGATTCTTGCAGCGTTAAAAAGGAAACAACTGGTGTTCATTCCCTGAATATGGTCAGTTTCACTTTTTTTTTTTCTGGCTCAGAGCAAATGTTTTTCTGTTTCACTTTCACTACTTGGACCATAAGAGATAGGAGCAGAATTAGGCCATTTCGCCCATCAGGTCTTTTCTGCTATTTGAGCATGGCTGATATGTTTCTGTACTCCATCCTCAACCTTCTTCCCAAAGGCCTTAAACTTCTTTCTAATCAAGAACCTATCTTTTTAAATACACTGACGTGGCCTCCACAGCCTTCTGTGGCAATGATTTACCACCATTTCAGTACCCTTTGCTCTGACACTGCCCTCCGATCCTGGTCTTTCTGACTAGTGGGGTCATCTTCTCTATGTCCACTCTATCCAGGCCTGTCAGTATTCCAGAAGTTTCCATGTGATCTCCCCTCACTGTTCTAAACTGAATTAAGTACAGACCCAGTGTCCTCAACTGCTGCTCACATGACAAGGCCTTCACCACCCCCCCCCAAAAAAACAAATCATTCTTGTAAAACTTCTGGATCCTCTTGAATGTCAGCACATCCTTCATTAGTGAGGGGGATCAAAACTGGTCTCTCATTCCAAATGTGGTCTGACCAGAGCCATACAGAACCTCAGCAGTGCATCTCGCTGCTCTTGTATTCTTACCTTCTTGAAATGAATGCTAACTTCTGCAGTTAGGAAGGCAAATGCAATGAATTTGCATATTAACTTTGAGAATCCTAAACTAGGACTCCCAAGTCTCTGTGCTTCAGGTTCTCAGGCTCTTCCCCATATAGAAAATGTCTCCTCTTCTCTATATCTCTCCTTTCTACCAAAGTGTATTATCCAACACTTTCCCACATTTGTGTTCCATCTGTCATGGCTTTGCCCAATCTCTTAGCCTGTCCAAGTCCTTCTGCAGCCTCCCTGCTTCCTTAACACTATCTGTTCCTCCACAAATCTGTCTCCTCTGTTAACTTAGCAACAATGCCCTTGGTTCCTTTTGTCCAGAATGTTGATGCATAGCATGTACAGTATGGTCCCAATGCTGACCTCTGTGGAACTAGCCACTGGTTGCCATCTTGAAAAAGACCCCTTTTCCCCCCCACTCTCTGCCTTCTGCCAGCCAGCCCATCTTCTCTTCATTCTGTACCTTGCCCCTAACGCCATGCAGCCTCCTGTCTGGCACAGTCAAAAGCCTTTGGCGATCCAAATAGACCGTGTCCACTGGCTGTTTTTTTTTTTTTTTTGTAAAGAAGACTTAACCATTTTATTTGGAGACACAGATTGCAAAGTGTCTTCTTTCCAGAGTACTTGTCAAATGGATTGCTGTTGCTGTAAAGGATTCATTTTAATGCCACACTCTTTATTGTAATGACTCCGGTAATAGCGCAATAACAACAACACATTGGACAGCAGGATCTATAGCCCCATTTTAGCAATGGATTCACTTCTGACTCAAGTTCTGGTATGTTGCTGTTGACTTTCACTAAAAACTGATGTGAAGTACCTATTCAGTTCCTCTGCCATGTCTTTGTTCCCCGTAATACTTCTCCAGCCTCATTCCACCTGTCCAATGTCCACTCTTGCCCCCCTCTCTCTGGTTTGTAAAAGCTTCCCAATCCTCTAATTAGTGGCTTCCCACTGATTTTCACCATGCTGTATTGCTTTTTCTTTACTTTTATGCTGTACCTCAGTTGCCTCATCCTCCCCAAAGTATGCTACTTTTTCCTTGGGATGAATTTCTTCTGTGTCTCCTGAATTATTCCCAGAAAACCCTGCCATTGCTGCTCAGTTGTTTCCCAGCTAGGCCTTCCAATTAACTCTGGACAGCTGCTTCCTTCATTTTTTATCATCCAACAAAGTGACACATGCTTTGTAAATGCTACTGTGCTCCAAGTGGAGGTCTAACTCAAGGTCAACTTACCCACTGACAGCAAATCAGGTGTTGAGAAAATAGTATACAGTAGCAGAAATATCGCACCGTTAAGTCAGTCTGGGATGTTTTATGGATCCCAATTTGAAATCTTTTGTTCTGTGTTCAGCTTAAAAACCAGAATTACTATAAGTAGAATTGAAATGACACTTTTATTAGCAGCCAGAGTTAATGGATTTCACAGCACCAACAAAAGTGCTGTGTATGTGGTCAAAAAAAATTATACTTGGGCCTTGTGGCAGCAAAGTATTTAAATTGTATTTTTTTATTCATTTATGGGGTGTGGGTTTTGCTGGCTGGGCCAATGTTTATTCTTTCCTCAAGGGCAACTGGGAATGGGGGTAGGGCTGTCTTATACCATTGCAGTCCATTTGCTGTAGGTAGAACAACAATGCCATTAGGGAGGGAATTCTAGGATTTTGACCTAGTGACACTGAAGGAACAGCAATACATTTCCAGGTCTGGACGGTGAGTGGCTTGGAAGGGAACTTTAAGGTGGAGTCCCCATGTGTCTGCTGCTCTGGTCATTTTTAGTGTCCTTCTATTAAGCCCAGCGACCTTTTAGTTGCAATCTATATTGCTCTGCACTGCTCTTAGGCATTGACAACTTGTACTTACATCCTCTTCCAGTTTGCAGCTGTAAAACGTGTTGAAAACTGCCTTTGCTACAAATGCTTCCATCTTAAAAAGGTATGAATGCTGCTATTGCAGTTGATTGGCACCAAAAATGAGCCCTCCCATTCCAACACCCCAAAATTCGATGTGCTGCACCCTGAAAATGTGCACTTTTTGGTTAAAATGCATGATTGTATTCACAGATAATAATTTGAACAAATCCTAGATCAGACTTGATAGTGTTGGAAACAGTGTGGTTATGGAAAAGCTTTATGGTAAACAATTGAGATGAATCTGAATTTACTTTTGTTAATGGCTAAGTGCAACATCTTGGGAGTTAGAATGGAGGTGGGTGTGGGTCAGAATATCGTGCAAGCAAAGTAGGAGTGTGCATCCCAAGTACATGTTTATAAGGCCTTTGACATTTTATTGTGCTTGATGTGGTTCTTGACTTGAACCTTGACTGTTAAGGCATGAGGAAGGGATCTTGAAAGCAAGAGGTTTAGCAAACTTTGTTTAAAACTGGCAAAAATTATATACCTGTTTTTCTTTATCGTCACTATGTCAGAGTAGCCATTTGAGGGTGCAGGTTAAGGCTGTCTGCTGGTAAGTGGTTTTTTTATTTAAGGCAAAGTTGCGTTATTATTATTATTTAAGTGATTTATGCAATTAGTAAACTTAAGTCGTGTATACGCCCCTGCATGATGTTTCTCTTAGTGTGTTTTTACATTGATTACGTGCAACTCTTTATCAAACAGCATGTCCTGTAGGTGCTGATTTAATGAAACAAAGTACAGCAAATTTTTTATTTTGTGGTGTTAATTCAACTACTTTTTTGCCAGTGGATGTTTTGAGGTAGCTGATTTACAATTGTGGTATTCATCTTTCATCTGTAGCTGTACTATGGACAGAATGGAGAGTTGATATTTGAACACCGGGTGAAATTGGGAAGAGTATTGCCATGCCATACTTTTTCAATCATGCGTACAACTGGCATGTAAAATTTACAAAATCCTTTCTAAGTATATCTTTTAACTTTTTTATTCATTGCGTGGATTCATTTGAGGGCGGCACAGTGGCTCAGTGGTTAGCACTGTTGCCTCAGAGCCAGGGATCTGGGTTCGATTCTACCCTCTGGCAACAGTCTGTGGAGTTTGCACATTCTCCCCGTGTCTGCATGGGTTTCCTCCCACAGTCCAAAGATGTGCAGGGTAGGTGGATTGGCTGTGCTAAGTTGCCCGTAGTGTCCCAGGGATGTGTAGATTAGGTGATTTATGGGGGAATGGGTCTGGGTGCGATGCCCTGAGGGTCAGTGTGGATGTGTTGGGCCGAAGGGCTTGTTTCCGCACTGTAGGAATTCTATGATATCTTTGGTTAAACATTAGTCTTTTACTAGAGACACTGATTTTGATCTGGATGTTTTTCAGAACAATATGATACTTTTGTGAAGTTCACACATGACCAGATAATGCGACGATATGGAGAACAACCTGCAAGCTGTACGTATACAGATCAGTTTCTTTAAGTGCTGTTCTCCAAACTCCACTTTTTCAGCTTGTCTGCCACATCCTTCTGAGAGGTCGTGGTTTTCCAGTCTCTACTCACCAGCTAGTTGCATTGAATGTGGTCTGAGGTGACATGCCTTTTAATTTCTTTTAAATGCATATCTCTCAAAAGCAAGATTGAAACCCACAGTAGCATCGCATGTTTTTTGTTTGCAGTCATGTGCTGCCTTAAAAGGAAACTCCTATATAGTTTACTAGGGAGAGAGATCCAAATTTTAAAATATTAAGCTTGTCAGTATTCTAGAAATACATGGTGATGGAGAATTCAACAGGTCTGGCAGAATTAACTTTGAGTCTAATATAACTACTTTGGAGTTCTGAAGGAGTCATTATTAGATTCTACATTTAACTGTTTCTTTTTCCATAGTTACTGTCAGACCAGAGTTTCTCCAGCACGCTATTTCAGATCTGTGGATGCACAATTTTAAAGTAGAGATATGTTCAAAGCAAATCTGATGCTATTTCTTTAATTTTAAACTACTGGTGATTCTGTACAGTAAATAGGAACTTCTAGCCTTGCTGAATTTACTGCTTTTATATTAAGTAGTGGCAATCAGCGGTGTGTCTGAGCTTCATCTCTACAATGCCTATGTACGGTCAGCTTGTGTTGCCAGTTGTATCCCTTCCTTCCATTTACTTAATGGAATGACATTGATGTATCTAGCATGTGAGACAGTGCAGTATCACCAGTTTAAAAATCACAATCACAGCTTTAACAAAAGTATCATTGCTGTGTTACATGAGCACGCTGCATGCCTAACCAAAGTAAAATGCATGGTATGGGCTTACATCATTAATAGTTTGCATTTGTACTGGCCTTAATCACAGGGAGCCACTGTTCTGTCTGGTATAGACATAAATGGCATTTCCTTTATTATACAGCACCTGTAGTATAACTTCAGATATACAGTTGATTTATTGCAAACATTTAGAAAGCTAAATACAGTGACCTTCTTTCTGACATGAGCTGAAAAATGCCCAGTTCTAATTTAAACCCCGAAGAAGAGCCTTGTATTCATTCAGTGTATTGTCAGTGGTAGTTGGTGAGGAAAAGAAATTGTAACTTGTATCTTTGCAATAAAATGGAAAAGTGTTAATTTAGAAGCTTTTTATCTTATTCTGCCCTTGAGTTGACATTTATTTTCTTCTAATTCACAGATGTGTCTTGAATTGTTCCATGTTTCTGCGGAGTGCCCTTCCTTTTGAACACTGCAAGTTGGCTGTTTCTCTGAGACTTGTAGCAGTGCCATATTAACCACCTGTGAGCACAAGGTGTTTCCAGCTTGTCAGTGGCAACCACTTTCTGCAGCATATGTTTATTGGAGTGCTCCCTGATTTGTCATCACTTAATTGGACCTTTGCTACCTGTACTTATATACCAGTGGCTCCCTGTTTAAAATTTTGCTGTATTGTTAAAATCCAAAAAGCTTTTTCCTTTGATTTTAATGACTTTAAAGGAGCAATGCTGGTATTCCAGAATTAGCCCTTCGCATATAATTTCAGCATTGTATCATAAATGTTGGACTTTTAAGAGAAGAATCAGTCCAGTATGGTTTTGACAATGGGCTTTTTTTTTTGCAAACTGACTTCTAGCTGCAAAAGGCATTCAAGGAGAACCGTCAATTTATTTTTTAAATTACTATTACCTGTGTAAGTGTTCTTAAATTTTTTCAAGCTGGATTTGTGGAGGCTTTTTGTTGCCTGGTTTTAGAACCAATTCATATTGACAATACTGAGGTTCACTATCAGATCTGCAGGTGAGCAAGGTGAAATGTTGCTTCCTTATTTTAATGTGATTTAGTATTTTCATTTAAACTGATTTAGTGAAGAATAATTCAATCTAGTCATGTTTTGAATCCAAGCCTCGAACTTGACTGAGTTGAAGCAACTTGATCTGTTTTCCTGACACCAAAAGGGCATGGCTGCAGTTTGACCTTTGTTTCTGTTTTGGATATTTACCTTTGTTAATAGTAAATATGTTAAATCAAAATGTTGCTTTCCAAGAACTGTTTGGATGCTAGGATACAAATTTGACTCTTTTAAAACCTGAGGTTGTTGATTTCTAACTTTTACTATTGTGGTGATTCGAGTGAATTTTGAAAATGACTTGCAAAAAAACTAGGTCAGGTTAGCCATTAAACTATAAATATCCAAGAAAACTTAAAGTGAACATGCTTCCAAGAGCAGCTGTGAAGATGCAGCAGTTAGTAGCAATGTCTTTAGTGTCTGCAGGCGTGTGATTTTTAAAATGTCTGGAGGGTAAGGTTTGCAAAAGCTCATTGTGCACTACACTTCTTCTGCAGGCAAAAAGTCTGTTTGAATGTTGAATGATGAGATTAATTATCCCTACTATATGGTGTGAGAGGTTGCCTGCGTGTATCTGTGGTCTTGCCTGTTAAACGAAGGGCTCAAACAAGTTTTTTTTTCAAGAAGAATTAAGAGGGGCTCGGAAGGGGTAACTGAAGCTTCATAGTAATTTTTTGGAAAATAGTAAATTTTATTTATTCTAGCAGTCTTTCAAAGTTTATTTCTTTTTGATGTACCATTATTTTACTGTTCTTTGTAGTGTAATGGAATTTAGTTGACAATAAAAAATGTTTACATCCAGTTTTAAGGATTACCGTTTAAAATGGTGTGAAGAATATGCTAAACAGAATGTGAAGTATGTAGTACAGGTTCAGTCTCCGTTGTTTAGAACTTTTGAATGCCCCTTATACTGTGGAACGGATTTTGGTTTCAACAAGCAGGATATGACTGACTAAATTATGAAGTAATGTCGTACTGACATTAATTTCTACTGTGGTTGATGCTAAATCACAGCAAACTATTTGAGAACATACAGATTCATGAATTTCCAGAGTCCTGTTCAATTAAGTATCACCTTGGATCAGTCATAGCAGATTCTGCTGAGTTTTAGGTTGTGAACCCTTGTTCTATCCAGTGCACCAATGAGGCTGACTGTTTCAGTGCTGTTCTGAGGGAATGCTATTTGAATACGTTGATTGCTAAGTGGGGTTGTTTGTGAACCCAAAATAAATTGCCTGATTACAGTTATACAGAAGTGAGAGTGAAAGTTTTTAGTCAAATGTGAAATTGAATTTGACATGCTGCAACTTTCCCCATCCTTGTTGCAGTCAATAAAGTACCCTTTTCCATGCAGCCTCTCGTTTTATCAAACTTGGCTAATTTTGTGTACAGCAAACTACCACTAAGATTCAAGTTAATGTTGTCAGGGATGTTTGTTAATGCAACAGCCCCTCAGAACAGTACAGCAGTATCAGGATAGACTATTGCTCACATTTTTGTTTCCGGTTTGAATTCACAACATTACCATTAAGCCAATCTAGTACTCGTTGGTCAAGACTAGGAATAAACCATTCTGTTTGCAGTGACTCTAGCATTGTGGACATTCCATAGCTGGAATCCATTGCACATGAAGTTATAGAAATAGATAATCAATGATTTCATGAGATGCTTCAAGCAAATAAAATTGGAGACAATGGAGAAATGGAACAGGCCAGTTTGCCCTTCACCAAACTGGCATGGACTTGATGGGCTGAATGACCTCTTATGATGTAGGTGACAGTTAGCCAGTCTGATCATATCATATCATTATGGCTTGGTTGTAATGTAAGAGTTGGCAAGTTTGATATATTGATCTAATCTAAACTCTGCCATTGGAAGTGATGGTGAATCCTTTGTCAAAGTACTGTGACCAGCAAACTATTTTGCCAATCTTGCAATATGTTCTAGACTGAGAATTTCAGTCATTACAAAAAAGGCCATTGCACTTTTTTTTTTTGAAAGAGCAATCCAATTTCCCTCCCTGTTCTGCCCTTTCCCACAACTATGCAAATGTTTCAAGCATTCATCAAATTCCTTTAAATGCTCCTGCTGAATCAACTTTACCTTTGTAGATTGTACATTCTAGCCTGACTCAGTTTTTAAAAATAAATTTCCTTGTTCTTTTTACTAATTGTCTACTGGCTGTTAAACTTAGCATTAGTAGAAACTGTCTTCCTACATTATTCTATCAAAACACTCTTATTTCTTTTGTAACAAATCCTCCCCTTTTTGAATCTTGCGGGTCAAAGTGAATGTAGGACTTCTCACTTCTCTACATAGTGTTAAGGCCCTGATTTTCATTTGAGTCAGGTGTGTGAAGGCATGAGAAATCCTGGAAACACTAACCTGATCTTTTGCCTATGCTTCTCTTTTTTTGCTCCAAGGTGGGGATTTAGTCCTAGCTGGATTGGGAATCTGACCAGGGTTACCCCTCGTGCTCCCTATGCCACTTCATGCCTGTTATCTAGCCCCCATAACCCCTCAATCCATGTTCCAACTTTGGGTCAATTTCCTCCCACCATCCTTATTCTGCCTTTCCCTATCTTGGCAAAATTGTTTAAAATCTACACAAACCTATGTACGAGAAGTTCTTTCAAGAAAAGCTTTATTCAAGTTCTGTACTCCAACAATGTCGAGCAAAGGTCTCATTCAAAAAGAATGGAATTTATGCCCCTTCTACACAGTCTCCACAGGTAAACATTGAAAGGGCACCTGAACCTCTTCCCAGGTATTCTGGGACCACATCAACTGTTTAAGTGGGGGCACCCCTCTTATTCAAAAGAAAACACCGCAAACACACCTCTGTGGTCCAAATTCCAAACATGAACTCCAATTCAATTTGAGTGGAGGATTATTTAAGTAGTTAGTTGTTTGTGCAGAATGCACATGAATTGTTAGATTTTAAGGTTCACTTTAGGTGCAGTTAGACTGGATCACCTGTTGACACAAATGTTACTAGTCCTGTTTTAGTTACAAGACCCATTACAGGTACAAATCTTTCCAAATTTTGGGTAATTTAAGTAAAGCAAGTTTTTAAAGGAACAGTGTTTTTTTTTCAGTCAAGACACTTTGGAACACCAGCTTGTGTTTCTGCTTAACTGAACATATGTCAGTTGTCTGAAATTGTACTTCTATCTTCGGCCTTCCTTTCTTGTGCACTACACAAATTAGAATTTTAAGCCTTATTAACCACTACCTCCTGTCCATGGTCTGATACATCCTGAACTCTAGCTGTCTTGCCAACACACAGAACACCCTGATCAACTTCAAATTGGCCAAACCGTGCATCCAGTTCCTAATTGATTTCATTAAGTGTGATGGTAATCTTAGTGACTTCACTTCCTGGATTCTGCTTTTTGTTTCTTAAAACATCTACGTCGTAGGATAATTCCTTCGACAGCATGTCCCTCCTTAGCTTGCTAATTCCATAGATCTTTGATGTACAAACCATCTGTGAAAAGTTCTGGTTTTGTGTACAGGACTTGGGATTCCTAAGAGATTCTTTGTATGTCAGAAATCAGGGCTTATGTTTCTGAACACTTCAAAGTTTTGCATAAGAGGTAGATTTTAATAAGCAAGAGGGTGAGTGGTTATTGGGGTTAGTGGGAATGTGGAGTAATCAGCTCAGATAGAGATAGAAAAGACTTCATGTAATTATGGAGTTTCTAAACAACTTTGTATTGAAATTATAATTGTGTGCCTTCAGAATGTGGAATAGAATCTGAGATTATAAACCTGGAACATTCCTCTAACACTGACATGGGAGAGCAGAAGTTCCACTTTCTACCAAACAGAAATTTGCATGAACATGCACAGTTGTGTGGCATTAAAACATTTTTGATGTTTTACTTTTAATAATCCATGTATAGAGTATACTTTGATCATTATAGGTAAACAGTTAATCGAGGTTGATACAGCATGTCTGCATAAACCTGATTGTTAAATTGGTGAATGATTTACCTGTTTGCTAGAGTGCAGTCGTCAGTTCCTTTGTAACTTGTTTTTAATCACTTCCCAAATCTTTGAAAATTGACTTTGTACCCAAGCAATCCAGTGTAGCCCATGTATGAACAAGGAACAAAAAATAGGCTTCTCAGCCTTTTGAGCCTGCTCTACCATTCAACAAGATCACATCTGATCTGATTTTAACCTCAGCTCTACGTTGCTGCATATTTTTGATTAATTATCCCCTTGGTAAACAAGAATCTATTTACCTCTGCCATAAGCTATTTAAAAATTCTGCATCCACTGCCTTTTGAGAAAGGGAATTTGAAGACACTCAATCCTCTGACAAAAAAAAAAATTTCTTCATTTCTGTGATAAATGGGTGAACCCTTAATTTTAAATAATGACCCCAAGTTCTAGATTCTCTGACAAGAGCAAACATTGTTTACACATTCACCCTGTCGAGTTCCCTCAGGATCTTCTATGTTTCAATTAAGTTACCTGAGTCTTTTCAACTCCAGAACTGTAAGAGCCACCTTTTTTAAATGATTCTAAAATTAGCAGAAACTTCTGGTTGTGCCTAATTCATCCTAGCCACTATGACCAGTTTTGTGTGGGACTTTTGAGGTAAGTGTCTTCTATTTGAGCAAAATAGACCATGAACTAGAGGAAAAACAAAGTACTGTGGATGCTAGAAATTTGAAAGGAAAAACCATTGCTGAAGAAATTCAGCAGGTCTGGTAACATCTAAGAGAAAGCAGAGTTGACATTTTGGGTCAAGTGAGCTTTCAGAACCGATTGTAGCTAGGAAAAGGTGGTATGTATTGCTGAAATGGGGATGGGGGGGAATGGAAATAGTAAATGACAGGTGGGGTGGGGGTGGAGAGGGGGAGAGAGAGAAAACAGCAGTTGGGCCAACAAAGGAATGGATGATGGTGAGTGGAGGAGAAAGAAACTCTGCTAGTAGAGACCATTAATGTACAAAAATGGGTTGGGACCGTAGGCTTCCAATCTCAAATGCAAGGACAAAATGTATTACTTCTGTTTGCTTAGGTAAAATGTCCGTTAGCAACATAAAGATTTGTTCTCATTTGTCATTACACTTGAAATGTATGATGGAAAGGAAAGACACTAGTCTATTCAAGTGTTTAACATCAATTTGTCTAAATAGCTCCACTTTATGACTTAACTCTAAAGTTTCTTTTTTAAAATAAAATACATCTAGGTTTGAACTGGACTCAAGTGGAGGTGGGCTAAGAGAAACGCCTGATTGAATATGTCATGAAAATTATGATCACAACCTCTGCAAATTGTTTCATCAAATCTGAAAATATTGGAAAAAATCTGGCTGACAAGTGCATATTCAATATCTCGCATTAAGAAATGTATAAAACCAGCAACTGAGATTGTTTGTTACAAAGTGTTTGAAAATATTCATATCTGGCAGCATCTGTGGAGAAAAAGTTCACTTTTGGGTCACTGCAGAAGAAAATTTTACTGTAACTCCTAGCATCTTCAGTACATAGTATGGTTGCTGATCATCTGTGTATAAGATGACAAAACTTTGGGATTTTTGATAATGGGTGCAGGACAAAAAAAGGACATTCCAATTTCTAGAATCTCACAGCAGAAAAGATGGTTATTTGGCTTATTTGGAAGAGCTATCCAATTATCTCATTTCTCTGGTTTCATCATCTTTTGAAAGTTACGAATTGTCATTTCACCACCCAACAGTGCATTCCTGTCAGTACAGACACAATGAGCTGAATGGCCTCCTCTTGCAATGTAATGCCTCTAGAAAATCACTTTTATTGCATTACAAATATTATTTGCAGTCTTAAATCTTCAGTGCAAAAATGAGTTGATTAGTGTTTATAGTTAATCTTGCTCATGGCAGTTGTATGTTCACTTTTGAATGTGTTATTTTCCCATTTTGATTCATACATTCCTTCACTATTAAACATGTTTGTTAAACGACTATAAAATGAGCAAATGAAGTCGCACAGAAAGGGAAGTGAACAAAATGCGTGACAATAACCTACATGCCAGCCAACTTTTTTTTTTGAGTTTGTTTGTGACTGGAGGTTGTGTAATATTGATTATCTCAAGGGATCTGGAAACCATGCGGGGGGGGGGAGAATACTCTGCACATTGGTACTATTATGAATATGGTCCAAGCACCTGGAAGTGTTTTGAGCATACATAGGGCATTGTTGATTTGAAGCATTTGGTGTGTCTTAGCCTACAAGCTACAGTCCTCCTTGAGCTTACAGGAGGAACTGAGGTTTGAGGGTATTTAGGATGATCCAGTTGTTATGGGAGCAATAAGGTGACAGGATCTGTTTGCATTGGGACAGCAGTCTTGTCTTGAAATGGGAGGACAATGTGTGTCTTCTGCTGGAAAGCTCTGACTTGGAGAGGAATGGAAAGAAGGCAAATTTGAGTCCTGATATACGTTTGGCCTAGTTCAGAATAGCCCAATGCCTTCTACATAAGGTTTCTCAGGACCATTATTTCTATTACTATCTAAGTTACATTACTAAAATTAAAAGTTGATTTATGTAGTTACCACTACTTGAACAGAAATAAGTTGCACCCTAAAATGATTCATTGTATTCCTCCTAAAGAGGAACTCTTAAACTTATTTCTCCCCTACTAATGATTGTCTTACTTTCATTTAAGTATCAAATAACAACAGATTCTGTTCATTTTAAGCTCTTCATACAGAGCAGGATTAGTTGTTGTCTGGTAATGTGTGGGGAAAAATTGAGCTTCCAAGGATAGGAGGAGAACATAAGCCAAATGTTTGCAGGTATGAATTGGGAAATTTTGAAAAGGAGTATGTTGGGATAGTTAGGGTGAGTACTACTGACCCATCCGGCTGAGTCCAAAAGGACATGGCTGCTAGACGCTAGACTGAGCCTGTGGTAGGTGGTGAGAGAAATGTACCTGATCTTGTTTTCACCACCGTGCCTGTACTGAAGATTTGTGCTCCAGAACTAGCCATGCTACTGGCAGGGCAGCACAGTGGCTCAGTGGCTAGCCCTACTGCCTCATAGCACCAGGGACCTAGCATAAAGGAAGTGTGGTTGTTGGAAGTCAATCATCTCCATCCCAGGAAGGCTCTGCAAAAATTTCTCAGGCTGGTGTCCCCAACCCAACCATCCTCACCTACTTTAATAACCTTTTTCCTGTCATAAGATCTGAAATAGACCATGTTTGCTAATGATTGTACAATGTTCAGCACCTTTCAGACACAGATGCAGTCTACCCAAATATGAGACCTGGACAACTTTCAGGTTCAGCCTGATAAGTGGGAAGTAACATTCATTCAAGATGCACTGCAATAGTATAGCAAGGTTCCTTTGACAGCACCTTACCACCTGGGAGAACTGGGGCAGCAATTACATAGGAATACCACCATCTGCAAGTTTCCCTTCAAGCTACTCACTTGGATGGTGACATCACCAAGGGGAAACATCTGAAACTCCCTCCCTAACAGCACTGTAGATGTCCCATGAGCTGCAATAGTTCAAGGAGGCAGCTCACTGCAACTTCTTCAAATGCAGTTGGGTATGAGCAATAAATGCTGGCCTAGCTAGCAATGCCACATTCCATGAATTTTAAAAAAAATTCTTATTTCACATTATGCCCAGTCCATCAGATTTTGGAGTTTTCAATGCCCAATAGTTGTCTTTGTACGTTTGTACTAATGTTAAATTGCAGCCAAAGGCAGTCGGTTTTTTTCTTCTCTTGCTGAGGGCCAACTTATTCTTTCCAAATTGTTGCAAGGAACAGAAAAGATTTGCTACTAGTTATGCCAACTGTGGCCATCTTTGATTTATGCAGGTGGCAGAATAAATATTTCAGTGGACTGTGGCTTATGATTAATAACTGTCAAACATATTCATGATTGTATGTATGTGTACTTATGAATACCTATGTACCCTAAATGTTGACTTGTGTATATACAGTACTTTGTTTTGCTCATCATCCACAACAGGCTATGAAGTATTTTTGTGTACTTGGCTGAAAGAATGAAAAGTTGATTTTGTACCTCCCCAAACTCCATACAAAAATTGGCAACCAAACATTCTGATACAAAAGCCACATTTTAAATGATGGCAGGGCCCCTTCATCAGATATATGCATTGTTGCCTTGTCCTTTAATGACATCTCTTTTGAACTTAATGACCACATTTCCACATTCCTCTGGGATAGAGAATTCCAAAACTTCACTCTGACTGAGGAAGTTCCTCCTTATCTCAGTCCTAAATACTTCCCTTTTATTCTGAGACTAGATTCTTGACCAGGGTTTAGATCATCATCCATCTAAACACCAGAGACTACAGGCCCTGTTGACCTAATCTCTCCTCAGACAAACCAGTGCAGGAATTAGCCTGGTGATCCTTCCTTTGGAAGGAACATGTGGTGTAGTGGTAATATTCCTATCACTGGCCCAGGAGGCCTGGGGGCCAAGTTCCCACCTGGTGTAGAGGTGTGTCATATCTCAACAATTTTGCATTTTAATCAGGAGTCTCCTTCCTAACTGATTAAAGATTCAACAGAAGGTGGCCAGTTTTAGGGTTGTTACCTTTTCTGCTTATAAATTCTGTGTCTTTTATCCTCTCTCTCTCTCTCTCTCTCTCTCACTGCCTGAGGAAGGAGCTGAACTTTGAAAGCTTGTGTTTTCAAATAAACTTCTTGGACTATAAGAGATAACAAGGTGTACAGCTGGATGAACACAGCAGGCCAAGCAGCATCAGAGGAGCAGGAAGGCTGACGTTTCAGGCCTAGGCCTCTGATGCTGCTTGGCCTGCTGTGTTCATCCAGCTCTACACCTTGTTATCTCAGATTCTCCAGCATCTGCAGTTCCTACTATCTCTGTTGGACTAGAAGCAGGTGTCATGTGATTTTTGACCTCATCCACCCCAGTCCAACATTGGCATCTCCACATTTTATTTCCAGCCACTGGTACCCCACCTTCTGCAGTTCTCCTCTTCAATCTCTCTCTCACTAACTTGATTTGTCTTAAAAAATCCTGAAATCTTTCCTCTTCCCTTGCACCTGCTACAATCCTAAGCAACTAGATTGCATTTCATGTACATCGCAACACATTCAGGATATAATAAGCTTTTTCCCCCCCGCCACCGCTTTCTGGCAAAGGATGAATTTCTTTCACAAAAATAATATTCATTCCTAGTATTGGAATGAGGTTACTTATTCAAAGCAATTGTATTCTGGTAGTATCTTTGGCATGTCTAGTCATTGTAAATGTGCTTTACAACTTATGAAATTTCTGAACTGTTGTAGGAAACACAGCAGCTAAGGGTGGCGTGATGGCTCAGTGGTTAGCACTGCTGCCTCATAGCACCAGGGACCCAGGTTTGATTCCACCCTTGTGCCACTGTGTAGACTTTGCACATTCTCCCCAAGTCTGTGTGGGTTTCTGCTGGGTGCTCTGGTTTCTTCCTTCCACAGTCCAAAGATGTGCAGGTTAGGCGGATTGGCCTTGCTAATTTGCCCGTAGTGTAAGGGATCTGCAGGCTTGGTGGGTTATCCATGGGAGATACAGGAATACTGGGAGTATGAGTGGGATGCTGTTTGGATAGTTGGTGGGGAAGTCTATCAGCCACATGACCTGTGTCCTTGGTCACAACAAGCACCCACAAACAATAATGTGATAATGAGAAATAGATTATCTGTAATGTTGATTGAGAGATTTAAAAAAAAGCACCATTGGATATTTTACATCCACAATACATAACAGATGGAGCCTGAGTTTAACCCTTTGCCTGAAACGTTCAAGTTTCTTGTGGTGGGCTTGAATCAAAAGGTGGGAGTGCTACCACCAAAGCCACAGCTGCTGCTTCATACGCTGCTCTGTTTTCTGTTACATTGACTACAAAATATGTTGCTAATGTGCTGTTGCCCAAGATGAATACCTACTGTGGGAATGAAAACAAGTTGCTGGAGAAACTCAGCAGGTCTTGCAGCATCTGTGGGGAAGAAAGCAGAGTTAATGTTTTGGCTTCATCAGAACGCTTCATTCAGGATCACTGGATCTGTGACCCTTTCTGTAACCTAATAAATAGGTGGGTTTTGGACATTAACTTCCCCGAAGCGGTATTAGTAGTTTTAAAGAGAAGCAAATTTAACTTATGCAACAGAACTGACAATTACTGAAAGCTAATAAAATGAATTCCACTCTTCTGGTGCCCCTAGTGTCACCAGCTGCACAGACGATCAGGCATAGGCAATTGTCCATGACTCTGGTTGCCAGTCTCAACTGGGTGGTTTTTGCAGAGGTGACAAGCAGAGAACATTCTCAGACAACAGGAAGAGCATAAATATTATGCAACACATCAATTAGGTTATTGTCACAGACATTTTGCTAGCTGATCAAAAATCACTTTGGTCTGGTAAGCATTTGACTGCATGCATGCACATCATCTGCTAGTATGAAAATACAAACGATATCTTAAAAGTACATGTATGAAATGGATATTTTATTGGCCATTGTAAATGCTCATTTTGTACTGTAACACATGAAATCCCAAATAAACATATTCGTAGCATGATGTCCAGTTTTGGTGCAAAATGTCCAGAGAAAGGCAAAGGATGTTGGGGTGGTTGTGGTCAGAAGCCACCCCACGTCAGTCTCGTTACGTGATCAGTCTTCTGTTTGGTCGGTTTAATAAAGCCCAAAAACTCCAGCTCAGACACAGCACGAATAAAACGAGCACTGATAAAGTTAGTCAAGGAAAACTGTGTGCTTCGATCGGACTATTTAAAATTTAGGCAAGTTATGTAACATTCCCTATCACTAATCTTTCCTTCCCACGATTATCCCTAAACCTTTATTACACCCATTAGAGAATCTCTCAATATTACAGAAAGTGGCCGTTCAGTCCATTATGCCTGTGCCAGCTGTTTGAAATAAGAGCGTGAATAATTCCATTCCACTGCTCTTTCCCCATGGCCTTGCACCTTTGACATTTTCAAGAATATATTCAATTCCCGTTGGAATTTCTTCCTGCGTGACTTCAGGTAATGCATTCCAGATCATAACAAAAAGTCAATGGATCAGTTTTTGTAAGTGTTTGTTAAGAAAGTATTGCTGCCTAAACATTGGGAGGATTCCACATTCTATAGCTTTTCCGCAGTATCAAAAATCTGAATTATTCAAATAATCATTGAAATAATTTAATGGATTTACTCATTAATAAAGTGCCTGACAATAGCTTCAAATGTTAACAGTAAAAGGTCTAATTATTTCTGAACATAAAAGCTTAAATCTGTAATAAGATCTCACTCATAAATTAAAACTAATCTGCAAATTATTTCCCCATTTAAGAACGGGTAGCACTGAGTGAATGCACCATGTGGTGTGTCCTGTGTTAGAACATCCAAGTTCAATTCCTGTTTGGTGCTTTATAGTCTGTCACACTGGGGCAGGAGTGAGTTGCTATGATTGGCCTTGAGTTCACAGGTAAGAAAACCTTTAGAAGAAAAAATCCCCAGTTCATTTTATTTGAAAAATACCAAAAGAAATATCCATATCGATGGAGAGACAGGATCAGACTTGGCTGTGATTTATCCCTGAAATACTGGAAGAATCTGAAGATCATACAGGTTAGAGCCATAAAGTAAGTGAAGCTTCACCTATTGTGCAACAAATTGGGACTTGCAACCAAGCAGTGACATACTGTTGTACAATCGCCTCATGTACCTCATCTGTTGTCCAACTCTCTAAGTTTAGTTGCCTTTTATCCTCCTCCGTCTTCTCTATCTACACTCCTACTGTCTTTAATAATTTGACTAACCTCATCAACGAGGTTTCACAATGACAAGAAGTGATTCATGCCCATGTCTAGGTAACTGATTGGAAAGTGAAAAATAGTGATTACTTCAAAATGAAACCAAGTCACAATACTACATGAAAAAATGTGCTTGTTTTAATTAAAAATTGGAAGCAATTCAGTTGAATTGCACACATGAATTCTGGTCACTGACTAGTCACCATCTACAAGTCTGAAGTAGGCAACACTATAAGAAACAAACGGGCTTGGCTTTCACCACCCTCCCTTCCTCTCCCCACCTTCCCCATCCCTCCCCACTCCACATTTCTCTGTCTCTCACACACACACAAACACAAAAAATTGTGTCTAACGGGCTCTTTCAGAAGTGGATTGTTACTAAGTCTCTTAATCAATCAGTAGACCAACGCAGTTTCAGGGGTGCTGGAACTATTGCTGAATTATTGTAATGCATTCCAAGTGTAGGGGGAGAGGTGAGGAAGAATTGGTGTGGTATAAATCAGATCTTTTAAAAAAAAAACAACTCTGCATCCTGGGAGCTTCCTTTTTCACAGCCAAAAATGGAACTAGTGGTCCAATTCAAACTCCTTTCTCCTTTCTGAAGCTTAGGGTAGCACATTCTGTTCAATATCTCAAGGTCAAGGCAGAGATCACTGGTTTTGAACAAAAATCGAAGTTTCTGGAAAAGCTCAGCAGGTCTGCAAGCGTCTGTGAAGAAAAAAATCAGTTACTGTTTCGCGTCTGGTGACCTTTCCTTAGAACAGACCCTTCCCAGTTCTGAGGAAGGGTCAGCGGACCCGAAACATTAATTATGATTTTTCTTCACAGATGCTGCCAGACCTGCTGAGCTTTTCCAGCAATTTCTATTTTTGTTCCTGATTTACAGCATCTGCAGTTCTTTTGGTTTTTATCACTGGTTTTGTGTCACTGAATGCCAGGTTATTTGAGGACGCATTTAGCACAGCATAATTCAATATACTCAATTCCTCATGTATATCTGTAAAGGATTCAGGTAGGGCTGGCTTCACTAAATGGTCATGAAACAATAGACCAGTAGCACCGACTTATCATTTTTCCATCAAACACCCTGTCTGGGGCTCATGGTGGGTGGGAAGAAGAGTGAGCATGTCCTGAATTTTTGCATTTCATTTCCATAGCAATATTGTCCAATTTTACAAAAACAAAATAATAAGATAAAAAATATGATCCTGACTGATCTGGTTTTCGCCTTGCTCGCATTTCCTGCATGTCCCCATAAACCTCGAGAGAAGCTAAACCTGCCTATTTCATGGTAAGAACAGACACATGTCATTTATAAGGTGCTTTGTATGTGACAGGAAGCATGGTGAATAGATTGTAACATCTGCCTTTGTGCACATTAGCATTTCCAATCTCCCATTGAGCTGCGTGCATGAGCTAGAGGATGTACAAAAATGTCATTTATTGCAGTATCTGAACAGCGACAGCTAACAGTGCCAGGAAGCCTTCACAACGCAGAAGATTTCACTTATACATATATCTACACATCGTACTTAACGTAAACTACTTTTGTTGCTGTGGGTTTCTAATAATAGAACCAATCGCTACGTAAATGCACAGAAAGGATACTGTAGAACTTGATCCACCTGTCCATTACTCATTTTATCTGGATCCTGTCCTTCTGCGGCACTAACCACAGTGACAAATGCCTAGAGATAAAAAAAAATCCAGTTCAAATAACAGCAAAAGCAGCAACACAAGCTCTGTCCAGCCACACAGCCATTTTCAGTCTCATAGGCCACTCTTGCCAAAAGAAAGAATATAATTAAGATATAAGGTGTATTTAGTTTGTGAGACATTCATCTATTCAATCTTCCTAAGCAATACGTCTTGATATCAATACAGCAGGAATTTCAAAAGGTATAAAAGAAAATTCAAAACTAGATGAAACAAGCAAATTGATTTTATTTTAAACAATTAAAAATAACAGGCATGTTCGCTGATGATTGCACAATGTTCAGCACCATTCATGATTCCTCAGATACTGAAGCAGTCCATTTCCAAATGCAGCAAGACCTGAACAATATCCAGGCTTGGGCTGACAAATTGCTCGTAACATTTGCACCACACAAAGATGCCACACAATGACCATCGTCAACCAGAGAAAAAATAACCATCTCGCCTTGACATTCAATGACATTACCATTACTGAATTCCCCAGTATCAACTTCCTAGGGGTTACCATTGACTAGAAACTACGTCAAAATCCTGGAACTCATGTTCCCAATGGCCTTGTGGGTTTACCCATAGCACATAGATTGCAGTGGATCAAGAAGGCAGTTCACCACCACCTCCTTCAGGGCAACTAGGGACAGACAATAGATGCTGGCCCAGCAAGCGATGCCTACATCCCATGAATGAATTTGAATAAAATTAAAAGCAGCTTAACAGTGCATCATGATTACCGCTCCAATTGTACTGCTACATGGTGACAAGACAATGTCTAGAAGGCTCATTTCCCCATATAGCCAAAATTCTAACTTTCAATCATTATATTAAATATTCTCTCAGATCACCAACAATTCCTCAGAATTCACCATTATCTACCCAACATCTAGGAACACAAAATCACAATGTAACAGGAACTCTTGCTCTTTCTTCTTGCGTTCTCTGCCTAAAGACAGGTCTGACTCACAGGCCCATGAATTGTAAGATAAGTGGGTAGGTCAACAATACAGCCAACCAGAATGGGGATTAAACCTTGTGCTTTGGTACAGGCTCCAAATCCTTGCCAAGATGTGGCTAACCAGGATTCTCTCCTGCTCTTACCATCTGGATTGGTGTATGTTGGAAGGATTTACAAGATGATGCCCATCCTGTGTATGGCTGCATTACGAATGGACTTACCTCAGTCATTAAGTCCTGCAGTGAGAATTGAACCTAGAGATTCTGGTTCATAGGGACAGTACCCACTGCACCTTCTGACCTCCCTTTACTCTTTACATCAGCATTGCAACGCAATTCCAGCAGTTAGTGCACAGTGAGCACATTGTCAAAAATCCCAGTTTGCAATATCATTTATCCAAAAATCAGGCAGAATGCAAGTGCATTCCTCATCAGTTACTTAAGTTGAGGTTGACAGAAACTCTGATTAACTAACTTGACATGCAGCCACTCAACCAATAAATGGTACTATTTACTGAAGACAGATGGATAACAGTACACAGTGGAAGAGTGACATTTATACTCCTTCGTGCATAAAACAGACATCACTCATTTCTTTCTAAAGCTGAAAACAGAAAACTACTTTCTGTAAGCTCAACCTAACAGAGCTCATTAAAAAAGATGCCGAGGCTTGTGTAACACAGGCAGCCCTTTGACAATTGTCTGTAGATTTACACTCAATACCAATATAAATGTGTAAGGAAAAGCACCCGACCAATACTTTTGGAATCATTCAAGATAACAACCAACTAAATGGTTGACATGACTCGAACAGAAAGCTGTATATAGGCTGGCACAACTAACACTAGTCATAACCAGCACAAGAATTTATTGGTGGTGTCAGGCCAATCAGCTCAGTTTCAGGATATCACTCAGAGTGTCGGAAGCTCCTCATTAGTATAATGGTTAGTACTTATGCCTGTCACACAGGAGGGGGCCCATTTCCTGCTGGGGACAGCTTGATCTCTGTGCAACTAAAAGCATCAGTCTTTTGGTGCAATTGGTCAGTGCGTTCAGCTGTTCACCGAAAGGTTGGTGGCTCCAAACTGTCCAGGTCACTCCTTTCACTCTGTTAAAATCCTGGAACTCCCTTTCAATGGGTATAACCTACACCATATGGACAGAAGCCATTCAATAAAATGGCACACTGACAAAATCTCAAAGGGCTGTGACAGGCTTGGGCAATAAATGTTGGCTTTATCAGCAATGCCCACATCCGAAAAACAAATTATAGACATCCTGCCCCATTCAAAGGACTTTGAAACTGCCATCAATTAAGGTTACTGCACAGAAGTATAGCATCCATTATTTCTATACTATGAGCAGGGAGCTTCTTTCCAATTCAAACTCCAGACAAATGGAATGACACACGATCTTAAGCAGTAGCCTTAAGAGCAACAAGGTTGTTGAGACTGCAAATGGCTCATGGGGTGATACGTCAGGTCACTACTAAACAAGGCAAAACAAACATTTACCTCAAGGAAAATTCAGCAATTAATAATTTAGCTCGAGCAAATGGGTTTCAGTTGAAAAAAATACTTAATATAGACCTTAGGTTTGGCCCCCTACATTTTGATATTAGCAATTTGTAAATACAAGTGAAAAAGTTGCAAGAAGCAAAGAATTGAAAGGAATTATCACACCTAACATACTCAGGCTCCTTCAAGTGACTGTTGCAGCAATGGGAACAAAAAGCAATTTACTTAATTATCTCTGTTGCACACCATAGAATCTATAGAATCCCTACAGTGTGGAAACAGGCCATTTCGGCCCAACAAGTCCACACCGCCTGTCCGAACAGCATCCCACCCAGACTCACCCCCCTACCCTATCCCTGTAAACCTGCATTTCCCATGGTTAATCCACCTAATTTACACATCCCTGGACACTATGGGCAATTTAGAATGGCCAATCTTCCTAATCTGCACATCTTTTGGACAGTGGGAGGAAACAGGAGCATCTGGAGGAAACCCACACAGACATGGGGAGAATGTGCAAACTCCACACAGACAGTCGCCTGAGGCTGGAACTGAAACAGAGTTCCTGTGATGCCATTGTGCCACTTTCCTCATCAACGTTCCTTCTTCCTCAAGCATTTGGCTTCTAGTTAACATTCGATTCCATACTGCTTTTGGCTACACAGATAAAAGTGGGCAATTTTCTGGGTAAATGGTAACCCGACAGTTGCTTGTCATCGAATTTAAATTCTCATCATCCTGACCTACGTTTCCAGAATGGGCCATTGGATGGTAATCAAAAGAGGAAATCTTCCTCTCCCTAAGCTAGAAGCAAACTATAGTACCATCATTGCAGCCCTAGTCAAGATAAGCTAATTCAGCAAAAACCAGTTGCTCTGTATTAATACACTGAGTCATTAGGGAGTTATGAAAGTTTTAATAAAACCATTTATATCTGTATTTTCTGGAACTAAAGCCATCTAAACATCCAATGAACTAAAATAATTGCAATCTCATGCTCTCTTTAAGAATGCACACAACAGAACAATGACTCAAATGGAACGGTGCCTATTCCATCTGGTACAGGAAGTTACAGTTAAATGACATCTTGGCCTAAAACAGATGCTCCCATCATGAAACATCAATGAACTTCGTTCAAAATTATTGTGCAGTTTTATTTTTAGAAACAATTGAAAATTTCTATTTCAGCCTATAATGGTTGCAAACATTGTCATTAAATTTTAGTGTGAGTCAAATCACAGATGTCTGGAATTGTTTCCAGCCAGTTAGGAGCATTGGTGTAAAGTGTGCACCAAGGTGTTAAGTTACTGAGACTTCCTGCAATGGGAAGTTAAACTGGAAAACTTGCTGTTTTCCTGAATTTGACCAGAATTCAACCAGCCAGCATATGGGAAAATTAGTGGTAATAATGAATGGCTGAGGCCTGGAGACTGGCCAAACAGGGAGCTAGTATGGTGCCAGTTGGAGATACACTGGCTTTGGTAACTTAGTCTTCAATGTTTATTTCAAGTCAACCCAGTCTACCTCAGATTACCATGGAAGGGGAAAGGATTCTCAGAAATGTGAACAACAGATGAAGCTTGCTGACTCATGTTACTACTGTACAGCAAATCCACAAGTGGGTTTCTCCACCAATAGGATGCTGCCATCAAGCCAAAAAGACATGTGATCAACCACACAAACGAGTAATGTGACATCACAGCTTCAGTGCCAGTGTGATGTAGGCCGAAAGTCCCAATGACTGGTGGATCATATTAAAAACCACGTTCCATTGACCAGTCACAGCTGGCAGCATGCCACTCGTGTTTGACCAGCTCATATTTACAAGCCTCATAAAAGTATATCCTCCATTAAAGGTGATTCTGTCATTGTCATTTTGTCATTTACTAAATAATCTGGAGCATGCTAAGATCTATAGTGAAAACCAATTTAAGATCATCAGCCAGACCTGCAGTGTGATGCATTTGCATGTGCCAGAAAGTGTATGTATGAATACACAGGACCATATACACATTCACTGCACCTTTTTCAAAAGGAAGAGGGTTATGGAGCCAGACCAGCTCTGCTGCATGCCCATGGCAACACCAGGACCAATCAGAATCTACCTGCTTGGTCTCAGAATTAAGATTGACAGTTAACTTGCCGCACCTCCATGCCGATAATGACCTGACCAATCGAAACCCTCTTCTCATTCTGTATAAAGCGGTCTCGCTCTTTCACCAGTCTGTTTCTTGTATCCAAGTTCCGATGAGGGCAAGGCAAAGAAAGACTTCAACTTAGTATCTTTTAGCATGGTTTAGTTCTTATGCTAAGAAGAAACTTTTAAAAATTTGGGAGTTCTGGAAATATCCATGCAGTTTTGACTATCGTGTGGTTGCTGAAGGAGCACACAGGCCTGTTGAGGCCCAGGTCATTTGAGGGTAGGACTTAATTGACATGTTGCCTGTGAGCTACCTGCTCCACAGAGATATCGGATTGTTTATTAGCCAGCAACTTTTCAAATATATTCTTACAACTTCAGGCATGGGAAGAATTGCTGTACTGTGTTGCATCTGCAGGAATTTAGCCTGCAACCATGACATTGATAAAGCTTAGTGTTGGCTGTTGGACAATAATTGATAAATCAATTCATTTTGAAACTTTAGCATTACATTTTTATGATCTTAAAATTTCTGTTTTAATTCTGGTCATCAGATGAAATAATATTTCTTATCTACAGATACATTTACTGTCTTCTAGACTCATAAGAACGTAAGAACTGGGGGCAGGAGTAGGCCACCTGGCCCCTCAAGCCTGCCCCGCCATTTAAATAAGCTCATGGCTGATCTTTTTGAGACTCAGCTCCACTTACCCGCCCACTCACCATAACCCTTAATTCCTTTACTGTTCAAAAATTTATCTAGCCTTGCCTTAAAAACATTCAGCGAGGTAGCTTCAACCGTTTCACTGGGCAGGGAATTCCATAGATTCACAACCCTTTGGGTGAAGAAGTTCCTCCTGACCTCAGTCCTACATCTGCTTCCCTTTATTTTGAGGCTATGCCCCCTCTAGTCCTAGTTTCACCTGCTAGTGGAAACAACCTCCCTGCCTCCACCTTATCTATTCCCTTCGTAATCTTATATGTTTCTATAAGATCTCCCCTCATTCTTCTGAATTCCAATGAGTATAATCCCAGCCTACTCAGTCTCTCCTCATAATCCAACCCTCTCAACTCTGGAATCAACCGAGTGAGTCTCCTCTGCACCCCCTCCAGTGCTAGTATAGCCCTTCTCAAGTAAGGAGACCAAAACTGCACACAATACTCCAGGTGTGGCCTCACCAGGACCTTATACAGCTGCAGCATAGCCTCCTTGTTTTTAAACCCCGTCCCTCTAGCAATGACAGACAAAATTCCATTTGCCTTTTTAATTACCTACTGCACCTACAATCCTACTTTTAGCGATTCATGCACAAGGACACCCAAGTCCCTCTGCACAGCAGCGTGCTTCAATTTTTTACCATTTAAAACATAATCCATTTTGCTGTTATTCCTACCAAAATGGATGACCTCACACTTATCAACATTGTACTCCATCTGCCAGACCTTTGCTCACTCACTTAGACTATCTATATCCCCCTGCAGACTTTCAGTGTCTTCTGCACACTTTGCTCTACCACTCATCTTAGTGTCATCTGCAAATTTTGACACACCACACTTAGTCCCCAACTCTAAATCATCTATGTAAATTGTAAACAATTGCAGTCCCAACACTGATCCCTGAGGCACACCACTAGCCACTGACTGCCAACCAGGAAAACACCCATTTACCCCTACTCTTTGCTTTCTACTGGTCAACCAATCCTCTATCCATGCCAATACATTACCTGTAATACTGTGCAACTTTATCTTATGTAGCAGCCTTTGGTGTGGCACCTTGTCAAATGCCTTCTGGAAATCCAGATAAACCACATCCACAGGTTCCCCATTGTCCACCATGCAAGTAACGTCTTCAAAGAATTCCACCAAATTAGTTAAACATGACCTACCCTTCATGAACCCATGCTGGGTGTTCCCAATGGGACAATTTATATTCAGATGTCTTGCTATTTCTTCCTTAATGATAGATTCAAGCATTTTCCCCACTACTGAAGTTAAGCTAACTGGCCTATAGTTTCCTGCTTTTTGTCTACTTCCTTTTTTAAACAGTGAAGTCACATTGGCTGTTTTCCAATCTGCGGGAACCACCCCCAAGTCCAGTGAATTTTGGTAAATAATTACTAGTGCATTTGCTATTTCCCCCATCACCTCTTTTAGTACCCTGGGATGCATTTCATCAGGGCCAGGGGACTTGGCTACCTTTAGCCCCATTAGCTTGCCCAGCACTGCCTCCTTAGTGATAATGATAGTTTCTAGGTCCTCACCTGCTATAACCTTCTTGCCATCAGTTTTTGGCATGTTAATTTGTGGCTTCCACTGTGAAGACTGACACAAAATAACTGTTTAATGCCTTGGCTATTTCCTCATTCCCAGTTATTAAATTGGCCTTCTCATCCTCTAAAGGACCTTCGCCACTCTTTTACGATTTACATATTTATGGAAACTTTTGCTGCCAGTTTTTATATTCTGAGCTAGTTTACTCTCATAATCTATCTTACTTTTCTTTATAACTTTTTTTGTGGCTTTCTGTTGGCCTTTAAAGATTTCCCAGTCTACTAGTATCCCACTACTCTGCTTTTTTGTATGTTTTTTTTCAATCTGATACTTTCCTTTATTTCCTTAGACATCCATGGGTGACTATCTCTTTTCCTACATTTCTTCCTTATCACTGGAATATACTTCTGCTGAGCACTGTGAAAAATCGTTTTGAAAGTCTCCACTGTTCCTCAATTGATCCACCATAAAGTTTTTGCTCCCATTCTATCTTAGCTAACTCCTCCCTCATCCTATCATAGTCTCTTTTGTTTAAGCACAGGACATTGGTACTGGATTTAACCTCCATGTGTATTTTAAATTCGACCATAATGCTCAGAATGACACGGAAAGAGAACTGGTTGGCAGACAGGAAACAAACAGTAGGAATAAACAGGTCCTTTTCTGAATGGCAGCAGTGACTAATGTGTACTGCAGGGATCAGTGCTTGGACTCCAGGTATTTACAATGCATATGAGTGATATAAAGGACAGAACTAAATGTAACATCTCCAAACTTGCAGATGACACAAAGGTGAGGGAGAGGGTGAGTTGTGAGGAGGGTGCAGAGATGCTTCAGTGTGATTTGGACAAGTTGAGCGAGTGGGCAAAAGCACGGCAAATAAACACAATGTGGATAAATGTGAGGTTAACCAATTTGGTTGCAAAACCTGGAAGGCGGGTTATTACCTAAATGGCAATTTAGACGATGGTCATGACTAAGAATATGGGGTAGGCCATTTTGGTTTGAGATAAGGAGCACTCTCTTCACTCAGAGGCTGGTGAGTCTGTGAAATCCTCTGCTACAGAAAGCAGTTGAGGCCAAAACATTGAATGTTTTCAAAACGGGATCAAAGGATACAGGGAGAAAGCAGGAACATGGTACTGCTGGATGATCAACCAGGATTGTATCGAATGAAAGAGCCGGCAGGAAGTTCCGAAGGGCCTACTCTTTCTCCTGTTTTCTAAGTTTCCAAGAATATATACCTGCAAACAACTGGACTGCTCCTTAGGTCTAAACATCAGCTTGGCTCAGTGTAAGGCTGAACAGAAATATGAAAACAGACATCACTCTTGTTTTCACAGCGGAGATGTACACTCTTATAGAATGGAATGAAACAGCGGGTCAAGCAATCCTCATTCTCCGGATGTAAGCGGTAATTTATTGTCATGATGATACAGATTGTGCAACCTTAACATAACCCCATTCAGTTTGACGAACATTAATGGCAAGTCATAAAAAGGTTCTGTCCCAATGAAGTCCAGGAAACTCAGTTTTGACTTGATTCTACAATATCTGAAAATGAAACATGTTGGAATATTGAGGTCCTGAATATTGAGGTCCTTAAAATTAAGGCTGAACTACTCGTACTGATGCTTCACTGATGAATACAGCATAAACCAGAACATAAACATTTGTTAGTTCCTAAACCCAACTTGAAAGATATACAGTTTAATGGTGTGTGTCTAAAGTGGTGCGTTAAAGTGGAAGGATTAGACACCCCTAGTAAAATTACTGTATTAACTGGGGGAGGCAATGGACTCGTGGTATTATTGCTGGACTATTAATCCAGAGACCCAGGAAATGTTCTGGAGTCCCAGGTTTTGATCCCGCCATGGGTGGTGGCATTTGAATTCAATTTTTTTTAAAAATCTGGAATTAAAGAGTCTAATGTTGACCTAGAATCCATTGTCGATTGTCAGGAAAAACCCATCTGGTTCACTAATGCCATTTAGAGAAGCAAATACATGATCTGGGCTACATGTGATTCCAGACCCACAATAAAGTGGTTGACTCTGAACTGCTCTCTGGGCAATTAGGAATGGTTAATAAATGCTGGCCTGGACAGTGATGCCCTCTTACCATGAATGTATAAAGAAAAAAATTGACTGTAAAGCAAGGCATGAAGGACAATCTGAGTTAGTTCTAAGCAACAAAGGAACAAAACCCACCTGCAACCAGTCATACAGGTTAATCAATCGTCCACACTCCAGGTGAAGTTTATAGACTATACATATATCAGGAGCTGTATTATTAATGGCTCCTCCCTTGCTCCTCAAGGCTTCATTCTGTTCCAGTGCAAATTGGTAAAATTAGATTAATTTTTCTTTTAGAAAGGTATCACATGCTGTATAATAATGGTATTTCTAGAACTTAAAGGGAAACCGTTATTGAGGATATTTTAACAAATCAAAGAATTATAAACCAAATATTAATATTTAGCTTTCATGTCTCTACATTGAAATGAAAAGAGCTATTAAGAGGCAGTTACTTAAGCTTGATTTTATACTTATCTGAATCAAAGGGAATTATTTGGGGGAAATTATTAAATGCTCCAATAAATAATTAATAATACACAATAAGTGAAATAAATATGAAATAAAAAAGCTAGCATCAGTCATGCCGACCATGAAATTTCCAGATTGTTACATAAAAAAGCCTTCTGGTTCACTAATAGCCCATTGGGAAGAAAATATACTCAACGGTTAAATTATGAACTGGTTGTTTGCGTGTTTTACCTGTAGATAGTTGTATGGCTTACTTAAAGCTGTCTGCAAGGCAGTGCGAGGTGCAGCATTTAAGTGTCTACGAATAGTGCTGGCAGCACTGAAATATACAACCTCATGGAGTGGCTGAGTCTCAGGTGGCAAAAGGTATTGCCTGCAAAAGACACAATAGACATACATGGTTGCATTATTATTTGACATTTAGAGCCAAGGAGACCATCTCCAGGTGCTTCACCATTGAGGAAGGGCAAGGGAGGGCAATCCACTAAAAACACATCCACCTCAGCTCACAAGTCAGAGTCTGCTCTGCTCTGCTCCAATAAAGAACCTAATTTTCTTAATGAGAGCACCCAGTAGGAGACAAACACTTCGCACTGGTCTTTCTCTACTTTTCTGTTCTTTGTAATGTGCATTAGAATACATTTTAATGCAAAAGTGGGCCACAAATAAGACAAACACTGTTAAACACAATAACGAATTTGGGAAGGAGTTCTAAATCCAAGTAGTGGTGAGAGTGTGGAATTTGATAGTGTATGGAACAGCTGGGACAAAGAGCACAGGCGTATTTAAAGCAAAGTTATGTAGGTACGCCAGAAAGAAAGGAATGGGACATGTTGATAGGATGAGATGAAACTTGCATGGAACACAACACCAACTTAGTGTGCTCGGGCCAAGTGGTCTATTTCTGTGATGTAAAACTATGTAGCATGTCTCAAGCTGACAAGATTTTTCTGACTTGCAAACAGTTAAAGCTGGAGTCGAGACTGGCAATACCGGTTTACTGTCTCTTGACATTACAGCAATGGCAGCTGATTAAAGTTTGCAGGTCACACATTTATATCATCAATGTTTCTTCCAGCAACAAGACAGTGTTTCCAAGTCATTGCCTGGCAACTGGGAAGAAGAACTAACATAGCATTCTTAAAGCCAAACACAGATTAAATCGGGTTTGGTAAAGCAATGAACATTCAGCTCTGGATGATGTGATGAGAGTAGAAATGTCCAAGTAAATCAACAGGCAAGCAGAAACAAGAACCACCTCTCAGCAGATGGTGAGTACAATGCTTGAAAAATGATATGCTAGAATGAATTTCTCTTCTTTCCTGGATATCATTTTGTTTCTTCAAAATTATTTTTCAGTTTTGTTTGCAAACTGACCTCTCCAAAGTGTGTTTCAGCCTGATGGTTTCAACTGAGTTAGGAAATTTTAAAGTCACTTAAAGTTGGAGTAATTGCTTGCAAATAACAAGAAAGAATAGGTTCTAAGCTGTATGTTTTAATTTTTATTAACCCGGTATTTTGGCAGTACTGTTTATACCCAAAGGGCAAAATAGAATAAGCACAATCAAAGTGGACTGTCCAATAAGCAGTTGTTGATTTTCATCAACAAGGATCTATCCTTCAGTTTTCATTTAAAATGTTATCCACAAATTGTATAACTGGGAGTTAGTTTAGCTCAGTTATCTGGATGGTTATAGTACAATGCAGAGTGATGCCAATTATGCAGGTTTGATTCCCCTTGCTGGCTGTGAAAGTTCATGGACCTCTGCCTCCCTACTTTGTCCCATGTTTGCTGAGTGATGCCCTTCAAGATTTATGTAATAATTGTTTTTTCTTAACGGGCAGAAACACATATGGTTCTTTAAAGAACAAAAGAATAGCACAGCATAGGAACAAGCCTTTTGGCTCCCAGGCTTGCACCGACACACAACACCTTTCAAAACTAAAAGCCTTTTGCCTATGTGGAATCCGTATCCCTCTATTTCTTGTCTATTCATGTTTCTGTCAAGCTGTCTCTTAAACATTGCTGTTGTATCTCCTCTGGTAGCACATTCCAGGCACTTACCACCCTGTGTAAAAAAAACTTGCCTCTCACATCTCCTTTAAACTCTTCCCCCCTTTTACCTTAAACCTATTACTCCTAGTAATGTACATTTCTACCCTGGGAGGAAGACTTTGATTATCCACTCAATCCACGCCTCTCTTAATTTTGCAAACTTCTATCAGGTCACCCCTCAGCCTCCAACATTCAAGTGAAAGCAAACCAAGTTTGTCCAAACTCTCCTAATAGCTAATGCCCTCCAAACAGGCATCATCCTGATAAACAGTTTCTGTACCCTCTCTGAAGCCTTCACACATCCACACACCAAGTATTTTAACTCTGTCCATGACCTTACAACCAAGGTTGGGAAAGTACCTGTATTTTGCAAGGAAATATGTATGACTAATACGCACATACTTTGTAAAATATAGTGTGGAGATCAGAACTGTACTCAATTTTCCAAATGTATCCTAACTGAAGTTCCATACAGCTACAGCATAAACTTGCCAGTTTTTATACTCTATGTCCCGACTGATGAAAACGAGCATGCCATATGCCTTCTTGACCACCTTATCCACTTGTGCTATCACTTACAAGAAACTGTGGGCCTGTATTCTTAGATCCCTCTGTATGTTAACACTTCTAAGGGTTCTGTCATTTAAATGTATATCTCCATCCTGCATTAGACCTTCCAAAATGCATCACCTTGCATTTGTTCAGATTAAATTCCATCTGCCATTTCTTCACCCATGTCTCCAGCTTATATATATCTGGCAATCCTCCTCAATCTGTGTGTTGTCCACAAACTTACTAATCAGACCAACTACGTTCTCCTCCAAATCATTTATATATATATATGTTACAAATGACAAGGGTGCCAAGCACTTATCCCTTCAAAACACCACTGGTCACAGATCTCCAGCCAGAAAAACACCCTTCCACGGCTACTCTCTGTCTTCTATGACCAAGCCAGTTCTGTATCCATCTTAGCAGCTCACTGCAGATCCCACTTTTTGTTATCAGCCTGCCATGACAGACCTTGTCAAAGGCCTTTCTAAAATCCATTTAGACAACATCCCATCCTCAAACATCTTTGTCACTTCCTCACAAAACTCAATTAGGTTTGCGAGACACAACCTCCCCCACACAAAGCCATACTGTCTATCGCCAATAAGTCCATATTTTTCCAAATGTGAGTAAATCCTGTCCCTAAGAATTTTCTCCAATGATTTCCCTACTACTGGTGTAAGGCTCAATGGTCTGTAATTTCCCAGATTATTCCTGTTGCCCTTCTTAAACAAAAACATTGAGGACTGTGCTAATTACTCACTGGTGTATATAATGAAAAAAACGATTGAACCATGCTAAAATACTTTATTTTACAAATTATGTGCGTATTAGTCATACATGTTTCCTTGCAAAATACAGGTCCTTTCCCAACCTTGGTTGTAAGGTCATGGACAGAGTTAAAATACTTGGCATTGCCAGAGTTCTTTTACTTATTTTACTGTGACAATCAGGATTATACATATGGGTTACTCCCATAGCCATTGTGTAATTAAGGTTAATTTAACAGATAGCAGAGGCCACAAACTTTACACAGCTGAAAAACATCAGCAATAGTTCTATATGGGGAAAAGCAAAATTTATGCTTCAGAGAATTTTGGAAGAAATGTATTGCATACTTTGTAAATGCTTACTTATAGAAGTATCATCAGTGGTACAGCTGTAAGGATACACTGAGGGAGTCATTCTGACATCATTATTTTATCAACAGGGGACTAATCAGTCAGAGCAATATTCTGGCTACTAATCATTCTGACATCAGTTTGGCAGAAAGCAAACTTGGATCTGATTATTTCCTGTTACATTATGTTTTGAAACTATATCTTTTTTCAAATAGACCTTTTGGAAACTCAACCAAATATATGATGTACTATCAGAATTCTGCCCAGACCACTCACCATGTAAATAAATATAACCCTTCTGTTAACTATTTAACAGGTACATTTGTCTGGTTGGGGGAGCAGATGACGACAATTTGAACTTACCAAACCTCATAAATTTCAGTCTCAGTGATGTAAAAGCTAAAGTTGCCATGGTCCTGCAGGACTATAGGACTGCTCTCTCATTAAACAGAGTCATGACTGGTGGTAGTTTAACCTGAGGATCATCATGTCTCAGGCAAGGGGCAAATTTGAAAAGGTGGGCCCTTCACGATAACCTCAACTGGTGCGGGATTTGAACCTGCACTGCTGGTGTCATTCTGCGTTGCAAATCAGCCATCCAGCTAATGGAGCTAAGTGACCTCTGAGACTCAACAATACTATGCCGAGAAGCTGATGTACTCTTGTAGATCACTGTTAATCAGAATCACTGGCTATAATCTAGAGACAGACCATCTATATCATTCTCTCAACCATAGCAGGGAAGAAACTGGGGGAGAAAAAGGGGGTTGACAGAAGAAGGAAGTGAATTTACAAGTGTAGAAATCCTCATAGGTTGTTAAACAAAAAACATCAGATGGAAGGTAGCAGAGGCAGTGGTCAGATTTTTGCAAGCATTCTTAAAACGTACAAATTGCTTAGTGGAATTACCGAATAGCCAATACATAACTTTTCCACAAGGAGGACAAAAGGCTAACCTGTACAACCCAAGCAGTTAGTCTGACATCAGTCCTGGTAAAGTCTTAGAATCCATAATTCAAAATAAAATTAGTGAGTATTTAGAAATATGTGAGTTAATTGAAAATAAATGCACACATTTGCAAAGAGCATTCTGTGTTTTACAAGTTTAAAGCTTTTATAAAACGACCACCTGTACAGATAAAGTAAGTGCAGTGGATATAGAGGAAATGGATTTTCAGAACATTTTTAACGGGGTGTCTTCAAGAGACATTTCAGGAAAATTCAGCATGTAGGATTAAGTATAGAAGATGAAAAGATCATAACCCACAAGAATTCCAACAGAAGTAGGCTGTTCAGCCCCTTAAGACTGCTCCATCATTCAATAGTATCATGGCTGATCCAACATTCCTCATGTCCCCTTTCCTGCATTTTTCCCATAACCCTTGATGCCCGTACTGACAAAGAATCTATCTATCTCAGCCTTAAATATATGCAAGCACTCTGCCTCCACAGCTGACTATGGCAAAGAGTTCCAAAGACTCTCAACCCTCTGATAGAAGACATCCCTCCTCATTTCAGTCTTAAATTGGCACCCCTTTATCCTGAGACTGTGCCCTCTGGTCCTAGATTCTCTCATGGGGGGAAACATCCTCTCAGCATTTAGTCCGTCAAGCCCTTCGACATTTCAATGAGTGGAGTCCCAACCTGTTTAGTCTTTGCTGATAAAACAATCCCTCCATGTCGGGGATCATTCTAGTGAATCTCCTCTGAACTGCCTCCAATTAAATGATAGCTTAACTTAAATAAGGAGACCAAAGCCTTCACTACTCCAGATGTGGTCTCACCAACACCTTGTCCCCAGTTGCAGTAAGACCTCCCTACTCTTATACTCCAACCCCCTTGAAATAAGAACCAACAGTCCATTAGCCTTCCCAATTACCTGCTGTACCTGTGTGCTAGCTTTCTGTGTTTTGTGCACAAATACCCCTGAGTCCCTTTGTGTTGCAGCTTCCTGCAACTTTTCTCCATTTAAATAATATTTTGTTCTCCCTTCCAAAATGAGCAACTTCACATTTTTGGATCTGTACAAAATTTCTTAGCAGACAGAAACATGGGTTAGGTGAAAGGGGTTTGCTTGTATTGAGGGTGGGTGAAAATGATGTACCCTAACGGTTTGTACTTGACCACTTTTGTCTGTGCTTGTACACAATTCAGACTTGGGCAGAGGAAGGGCAATCTAAATCTCTAAGGAAAACCCAATGAGTTACACAAGTCTTGAGGAGGACTCAGACATATCAGTGGATTCAGCAAGACAGATGAGTGCTTCAATTTGATGTGAAATTTCCCTGCAGTATCAAAGGCTGAGGGGTGCTTAAAGAGGTTTAGGAAATCATGAGGCAGAGTCCAAAACTAAAGGGCATAGGTTTAAGGTGAGAGGGAAAAGACTTAGGAGGGACCTAAGGGGTAACTTTTTCACACACAGGATGGTGCATCAATGGATTGAGCTGCCAGAGGAAGTGGTGGAGAATGGTACACTTACAAAATTTCAAAGGCATCTGGATGGGTACATGAATAAGAAGGATTTAGAGGCATATGGGCCAAATGCTGGCAAATGGGATGGGATTAATTTAGGATATCTGTTTGGCATAGACGAATTGGACCAAAGGTCTGCTTCCATGCTATAGTCTGTGACTCTTTGTGTGAGGTAGTATATTTTGAGAGGAGAAACAACGAATGGCAGCATACACTCAACAAAAAGCAACTGATGGCTGTAACTGGATAGACAGAACCATTGGTTTGAATACATAATTCTATAAAAATGAATATTTATATGAAGCACAGCATTAAAAAGGTCATTAAAAATGGGATTTTATTAGGAGGAATAAAGGAAAAGAGTTAAAAAGTAATAATGAGGCTGTACAAAATGTTAGAGAAGTTAGTGTGCGTTCTTGCTCAGCCCTTTAAAGTAAGAATGTTAAAGCCATAAACATTACACCGTACAGATTGAGCAGGATGATGCAGAGAAGGGAAACAGTTAGGAAAAAAGACTTGTGATTACTGGACTTGCTAGTCCAATTAAGTGAAGCAAGCTACGAGAAGACATAACATAGCCTTTTAAGATGTTCAATGATTTTAACAGATAGCAAATTGGGAAAAGCTATCTGGTCTGCTTGGGGAGCAAATGATAAGTTGTTGTCAGAATTGAAGTGGCCACTAAGAGAGTGAGAGGGGTCTGGAGAAAGAACCTGCCAGCGACTCTCTGGGATGGACATCATTTGTCAGAGCCTTTACTTCTGTCCTGTCCCACTGCCCAGAGATGTTTTAACAACCTCCTTGTTGTCACTTCCCATAGAGGAAGCAGGGGAGGTGTATGCATGTGTCTGTGTGGGAGTGTTTGGGGGATTGGGGTGGTTGTGGAGAAAGAGAAGCTGAGAGATATGAGACTGCAGTGAGACTGAGAGCAGAGAAGGTGAGAAAAAGTAAAATGTGGATAGATGGCTGGCACAGAGATCTGCCTCAGCACACTCACGGAACAGATGCAAATGTTCAAAATTTTCTTTACACTCACTATTCTAAGAAGATCAAAGGATTTTAGAGTCTTAGGGACATAGTCAAAGTTGTGATGTGTTGTCCTATGTGTAGCAGGAAAATTGCACTCAGCTCCTGTTTCACATGAGGAGCACTACACAGGTATGCTAACCAAGTCGGGAATGCCCAGAGAAAATCATATCCCTGGATCAATCATGCCACTCCGATCGTTCTCACCACCCTACTTTTTTAAATCTCACCTTACAAGTTTGTCCGTAAATTCAAGAACTTCCATCCGCAGTACTTCAAACCTGCTTAGTTTTTTGGATCTTCTTGATTTTTTCAATTCCATCAAGGTCTATGAAATTAAGAAAAATACAACAGGTTTCAACGACCACTCATTGATATAACTGCTGGTTCCACTGTTTGGGTAAACTGAGCATGATGCCTTTGCCCCATTAGCAAATATTGCTTGGATCTGTTTTACAAACAAAGGTGCTCTCTTGCTGTGACTGGGCTCATACGCCTTGCACTGTGCAGACTCTTTCCTTAGACAGAGGAACCAATTCAGCACATAATGACCAGAAGTGAAACTGGACAACGAATCAAAGCAGTTTGATGACCTTTCAATCAGAAGTCATTCTGAAGGTCAGAAGGAGGAAACCAGATTGTGTAAAAGGGAGAAGGTATGAGAGAGTGAGACACAGAGAAAGTTAAGAGTTACAAAAGAGAGATCAGACAGGGAGAGGGAGAGGAGGTGGTGGAAAAAGCGAAAAGAAAGATGGCCATTAGAATGGCTCAACTTTTACTGATACTTGGAACTCCCTGACAGACGCCAAATAATTATAAACACTTAGTACACTTTTGCACAATTCATATCCCAAACAAAACAATACCACAACTTAGCTGAAAATGACTAAATTAAAAGCATTTTGAGAATTTGAAAATAAACAGCGAGAATTTTCAGACATATCTGTTCAGTTCTCCTGCCTGTTGTCTGCTGGTGGCAGGTTATCAGGATATATACCTCAAATCATATCTTTAAAAAAAAGTGCTTTAGGATCCCTTTCAATTCGCAAAAATCAGGTTTACAGCATTACAATTATAAAAAGATGCAAACTCCATCAAAATGTCAGTTATTTGGAATTAGACCATAAGACATAGAAGCAGAAATTAGGCCATTCGGCCCATTGACTCTGCTCTGCCAATCCATCATGGCTGATAAGTTTCTCAAACCCCATTGTCCTGTTTTCTCCCTGTAACCCTTGATCCGCTTGACAATCAAGAACCTATCTATCCCTGTGTAAAATATATTCAATGACCTGGCCTCCACAGCCTTCTGTGGCGATGAATTCCATAGATTCACTGCTCTCTGGCTGAAGAAGTTTCTCCTTATCTCCGTTCTGAAGGGTCTTCCCTTTACTCTAAGGCTGTGCCCTCAGGTCTCTCCTACCAGTGGAAACATCTTCCCAATGTCCACTCTGTCCAGGCCATTCATTTTTCTGTAAGTTTCAATTAAATCCTCCCTCATCCTTCTAAACTCCAAAGAGTATAAATCCAGAGTTCTCAAACATTCCTCATATGTTAAGCCTTTCATTCCTGGGATCATTCTCGTGAACCTCCTCTGGACCCACTCCAGGGCCAGTACATCTTTCCTGAGGTATGGGGCCCAAAATCACTCACAATCCTCTATTTGTGGTTTAACCAGAGCTTTATAAAGCCTCAGAAGTACCTCCCTGCTTTTATATTCTAGTCCTCTCAAAATAAATGCCAACATTGTATTTGCCTTCCTAACTACCGATTCAACCTGCAAGTTTACCTTAAGAGAACCTTACACTAGAACTCCAAAGTCCCTTTGCACTTCAGACTTCTGAATTTTCTCCCCATTTAGAAAATAGTCCATGCTTCTATTCTTCCTACCAAAGTGCATGACCTCACTTTCCCACATTGTATTCCAAATGCCACTTCTTTGCCCACTCTCCTAACCTGTCCAAATCCTTCTGCAGCCTCCTCGCCTCCTCAATACTACCTGTCCCTCTACCTATCTTCGTATCGTCTGTAAACTTGGCCAGAATGCCCACAGTTCCTTCATCTGGATCATTAATGTATAAAGTGAATAGTTGTGGTCCCAACACTGACCATTGCGGAACACCACTTGTCACCGGCTGCCATCCTGAGAAAGACCCTTTTATCCCCACTCTCTGCTTTCTGCCAGACAGCCAATCTTCCATCCATGCTAGCACCCTACCTCTAACACCGTGGGCCCTTATCTTACTCGGTAGCGTCTTGTGTGGCACCTTGTCAAAGGCATTCAGGAAGTCCAGGTAGATAACATCCATTGGGTCTCCTTGATCTAAACTGCTAGTTACCTCCTCAAAGAATTCTAACAGATTTGTCAAGCATGACCTCTCCTTGATGAAACCAATCTGGCTTCACCCTATTTTACCATGCACTTCCGAGTATTCAGAAATCTCATCCTTCACAACGGACTCTAAAACCTTACCAACAACTGAGGTCAGGCTAATCAGACTGTAATTTTCTGTCTTTTGCCTTACTTCCTTCTTAAAGGGGGTGGGGGGGATGGTGGTTACATTAGCAATTTTCAAGTACTTTGGGACTCTCTCTGACGCCAGTGATTCCTGAAAGATCACCACTAACGCCTCCACTAACTCTTCAGCCATCTCCTTCAGAATTTTGGGGTGTAATCCATCTGGTCCAAGTGATTTTTCCACCTTCAGACCTTTCAGTTTTTCTTGTACCTTCTATTTGGTGATGGCCACCATACTCACCTCTGCCACCCTGACTCTCTTGAATTTATGGGATATTTCTCATGTCTTCCACCGTGAAGACTGATACAAAGTAATTATTCAGCTCCTCAGCCATTTCTTTGTTCCCCCTTACTACTTCTCCAGTGTCATTTTCCAGCGTTCCAATGTCCACTTTTGCCTCTCTTTTGCCCTTTATACGTCTAAAGAGATTCTTGCAATTGTCTCATATTACTGGCTAGCTCACCCTCATATTTAATCATCCCCCTCCTCATTTCTTTTTCGTTGTCCTCTGTTGGTCTTTTTCCCACTGCCTTTCACCATATTATATGCTTTCTCTTTTGCTTTTATGCTGTCCCTGACTTCTCTTATCTGCCACAGTTGCCTCATCATCCCTGCACCATGGTTCTTTCTCCTAGGGATGAATTTTTGTTGTCTCCCAAATTACTCCTAGAAACTCCTGCCATTGCTGTTCCACTGTCTTTCTTGCTAGACTCCTTTCCTAGTTAATTCTGGTCAGCTCCTCCCTCATGCCTCTTTAGTTGCCTTTATTCAACTGTAATACCTTAATATCAGATTCCACCTTCTCCCACTCAAATTACGGTCACTGCCTCCTAACGATTCCTTCACCTTAATCTCCCTTATCAAGTCTGCCTCATTACACAACACTAAGTCCAGAAATGCCTGTTCCCAAGTGGGCTCCACCACAACCTGCTCCAGAAAGCCATCTTGTAGACATTCCACAAATTCCTTCCCTTGCAATCCACTACTAACCTGATTTTCCTAGTCCACCTGCATATTGAAATCTCCCACGATCACTGTAACCTTGCCTTTCTTATACACCATTTATCTCCTGGTGTATCTTGTGGCCCAAATCCTGACTACTGTTTGGAGGCCTCTACATCACTCTCATTCTGGTTTTTTTTTTACCTTTGCAGTTTCTCAACTCTACCCACACAGATTCTACCCAATCTGACCCTACTTTGTTTCTTGCTATTGAATTAATTTCATTTCTTACTAACAAGGCAACCTCACCCCCTCTACCCACCTGCCTGTCTTTTCAGTAGGATGTATATCCTTGGATATTTAGCTCCAATCCTGATCCTCTTGCAGCCATGTCGCCATGACGCCCTCCACAAGCTCATACTGCATGCACTCAGATACAACACCTTCAGTCCTGTATTGACCGTCCCACTTTCCATTGTCATTTGTTTATCCAGTGTGCTTGAAGTTTGATTCCTAACCCTTTCCAAATACTGCATCCTATTTTGCATGCTGGAGACTTTCATAACCTTTCCTGCGTTTTCCTTTCTTTTCGTTTTTTTTCATAGAGTTTTCCATGCAGTTAAAGAGGATTCACCAATGTTTTTGTATGCGAGTCAAATACAGAATTACATAATGGCCCATGATTATTAAAGATTTAAAATAAAAATGTGGTGCTTTCATATTATTCCTTGTATTCAGCAGATGCTGATGGACTTCCATGGATAGAATTAAAGGAACAGGGAAGAATGCAAGATAATTGCTGCATATTTATAATCATGTTTTATGACAGAGATATTAACATCTACGTATATGTAGGCCAAAGTACCTAGCAAGGGACGTGTGGTAATAAAAGTACATCTTAACAGCTAGAGACTGGGAGAAAGGGCCATACAAATAGAAACTTAGAAAACAGGGGGAGGAACAAGCCAAAGTTCAAGCCTGCTCTACTGCCATTCAATATGATCATGGTTGATCATCCGACACAGTACCCTGACCTGCTCTCTCCTTACACCCTTTGATCCCTTTAGCCCTCAGAATTATACCTAACTCCTTCAATATTTTGGCCTCAACCACTTTCTGTGACAGAGAATTCCACAGGGTCACTACTCTCTGGGGGAAGAAATGTCTTCACACCTCAGAAAAGTTTCTAAAATCAGTGTAGAACAGGAACTGGTACTTGTTATGCCTGAATTCTTGAAAATCATCCTGTGCTATGGAGGCATCCAGGGTGGCCATTTAAAACAGACATTCAGTCCCCTTCACATGTTAACAGGGAGCTTATGAGGACCTTCGAGATAAAGAACTGCTTTGAGCAGAGTACCATTCAGCCTGTAAACTATCAAAAATAGGATCGGTGAATTTAAAACAAAGTTGATATTTCTCCTGCACACGCTGTACTCCACACTGCTGTGTTCTGCCTGTGATCAGCTCTCCTCCCATTCTATCCCTGTCTTCCCTGAGGATCTTTGCCAGTGGGCCCACATTGACAGATGTTTACAAACAAAACGTAAAATCATTATTAATTATATGAACATTTTTCAAATAGGGTTTCAAAATGTATGCAGTGCTATTTCGTCATCTCTTTTAAAAGATGGAGCAGAAACAATCTGGAAATTGTAGGCAGTGACATTACAGAAAAATAAGCTAATTGAAAATTGAAGACCTTTTGGAGTTCATAAAGGTCAGTCCTTTTCTGTAGCGATTTTTCTGGTGACGTTTTGTAATCTTCGTCACCTTCTTTGTCCTCCATCTCAAGAGCAATGTCTAGATACAAATGAGAAAAAGCTTTTGTAAATACAGCTCGGTAATTTTTTTCCAAAGAAAACTTATTGAAACAACTCCTTCAGGACAACAGAAAATAAAACTGATATAAAAACAGAATCTTCTTGTAATGGTGTTAGGTAAATGTCATTCACCAAATGGCACTACTTTGCCTGTCCACTGTTGAGCATTCTCATCAACAGTGTGCTGGGAGACAGTGATATTAACAAGAAGAAAGGTCAAATAGCCATAAACTGTGCTTCCTTTCATGCTACATAAGGCAGTCCAGCCTCCAGAAACACCTCACAGACTCCAACAGCTAAAAACTAATTTGTTCAACACAAGGAAAAAGCCATAAAGGCACTTAAAACAAGTGAGTTTTACTCTTGTTTACTTTTAAGAGGAAGCTATACAAGTACATGAGTGATAAAGGAACAAAAAGACATAAAAATCAGGTTTGGTAAAGCAAGGTGGGGAAAAAAGGTTTGCGAGGAGCTTGAACACTGGTATAGACCTAATGGCCTGTTTCTATCCTGTTGTAACGATGCAATATCTTTGTTAATTAGTTATAAAAAATATTAAAGATTGGGGATAACGGCTTTTGAACTAGGCAGTTAAAGGTGGGAGGTCATCTAATGAAACCTCCAACTGGAGTTGTCAGCCCTATTAAAACATCCAAGTGGCCTTAAATGTTCCCATTGTAAATTTTTCTGCAACTGTCTGATCAGGCGCAAGACCTCTTAAAACGTAATCAAAGCTAACAGGCATGGAATTTTTTAAAAAACCAATATGGCAGATTGGTCTCTGACCAATGTAATGCCAATACTTAGTGGGAAGCTCTCATCACAGGCTTAACAAACACAAACATGCAGGGAATAAGGCTGTCAAAGCAGTTTGAAAATATCCTTTCATCTCTGAAACAGAGGTCCCAATGCAGCCAACAGCCAAAGGCTTCCTTCTCTGTTATCTTCTAAACCAGCTGTTAGGGTTGTCCATTAAATGTGTTTTGGTTGTCAGTGGGTCAGGGATACAGACTACTCATGACTTGGGAAAAAAAACCGATAATCTCATCCAAAAAGGTCATGAATGGTGACAGTACTGGAAAAATTCACATTACCACTATTAATTTTACTTAACTTCTGACCTGCGTCTTAATTCATCTGACATTACTCAGCACAGATTGACAAACTTGTTTCATTTCTCCATCACTGACATTCTTCAGCATGATAAACATTATAACTCATGCTAAATAGGTTGTGACCATCACAATTAACTGGAACAAAAGGTCTTATATCCATTTCTACATTCACTGAAGCAAATGGTGGCTAACTTCAAACTGATTACGTATTCCTCAAAAGACAGCAACAGACTGGTTTTAGAAAGATACAAGAGAACGGCTAGCGATGTGACAGATATAATTTAGTGAAGAGAGTGTAAAGTGATATATTTTGGAAGGAAGTGGCAATATAATTAAATGGTGCAATTTTGAAGGAGATGCAGGGATACAGAAACATGAAGGTTTGGATATGCAAATCTTTTGTAAACAGTTAGACAAGTTGAGAAGACTGCTGAAAATGTATACCCTCAGAATAATTAATACAGGCATAGAGTACTAAACTAAAAGAG